ATTTAAATAATACTATTTATTATTACTATATTATTTTTATTTAATACATAAATTCCTAAAAATAGAAATAATTAAATAATACCATAATATTTATGTGCATTTTATCATTTAAATAATTAAATGATGATGATCATAGCAACACTATAAATTTTGTATGTAACCTCATGGAGATTTATCACTAAAACATATTTGTTTAAATAAATAACCGAAATAAGGTACGGGAGACTGAGTTGAAGAGTCGAATAAAATAATTAACAAAGGCATAATTTATAATCGATGCAAAGAATTCATTTATCAAAATAAATTTATTCTGAATATTAAACTGAAAATTTTTTATTAGAATATATTTTTTTTATTTGAAATGTATTATTATTTTGTTGATGTTTTAGAATTACGACAAATTATTTCCCGTTAAATTTTGTATATCAGACTCATAACACCTTTAAAGACGAAAATAAATATACTGTAATTTAAAATCAACTATGAAGTAAAACTTAATAAATATAAGCTTGAATATCTTTAAAATACAATGTTTGCCCGCTCTTTCCCTATTTACATAACGTAAAAATTCTTTCCAATGCACAGATATCTTTCGACGTATCCCATAAAAATTCAGTATATAAAAATCTTGCAAATACATCCTTGCCGTTTTTTCACCTTCAATTATTCACGAAATTTATTTTTGTATTAATAATATTTTGTTGCCTGAAAAATATTCAAAGTATTCAAATTCGTGTATTTGATTTCTACATAAATCCAAGCGAAGCTTTCAAAAATTTTAAGTTTTGTTCTAAGAAAGAATTTAATAAAGGATTATATTTCCCTATTTGGGGAGAAGTATTTTTTCTTACATGTATTTCAATTCTCATTTTAAATTTTATTCGATTTAAAGGCAGAATCATATTATATAAAAAGCTCTATTCGGCTTAAAATTCTATAAAAGTCTTCTGCTACAAAAAAATAAAAATTTCTATATTTTCCAGAGAATATTCTGAGTATATTTACATCATTATACTATATTTTATTCTTTTTAAGTACATATATTCATATTTATACATAACTATCTCAGAAATATCAAAATACATTATTATCTGAAAAATAATAATTAAATATAAAAACAAGGAAATACTTTTAAAAAATAATTTTATACAGTTAGGAATTTTATAATTTATCGTAATCTAATCAACAGAATTACTTATTATTTGATAATTGGTGTGTATTTTTCCTTATTCATAAAAATATCAAAAAGGGGAAAAACACATCAATTACAAAAATAATCAGGATTTTTCACAAGTTATATAGAAGACTTCAATTTTCCTCTTTATAGATGTATATGACCCGCAATAATATTGGGAAACGTGAATGAGAAGTGCTGTACGAAGCTCTGACACTCAAACTACCTACAAATAATTATCATAGTCCAGATCGGATTCGAATCCGAATTTCTTACAGCAAAAGAAGAATCTTTTAACAACCGCAAATTATATAACAATACATATAAAATACAACAGCAGACTAAAGCTGCCTTCTTAAGTATAATTAATAATTATTTTGAAAAATACTGTATTATATTTAAAAATATTCCGAAACTAATTATTTGCATTAACAAATATTTTGCTAATAAATAATACATTTTATAGTTTATATTTTTAATTCGTACAAATTATAATTCAAGCAAACACATTAATCAACAATTGCAAAGAAAAGAATAACCATTTGTTAATTAGTTTTTAATTAATAGATTCTTAATAACTATCATCATCAACTCATAAGTTAAACAATAAACCATACTGATATATATAAGTAATTTAATATATCTAGATTATATGTATCTTCATTGCATAGTCATTTATATAATCAGAAATAGAGTAAAGATATTTAATATTAAGTTTCATTTAAACGTTCATATTCCGAAATTATTATACGAAATAAAATATTCAAAATAATAGATTAATTATTAATAGTAGAAATTATTTTATTTTTGTTATTTAAATAAAAAGAGGATGAAACAGGTATACAAGATGTGTGAAAAGATTTAAAGTGATAGAAACACTCGAGTATTAAAAACAAAGAATATTTCCATTCCAAACAAAGAACTTTTACTCTTCTGAATAAAATTTTATAAAATTTTCTGAATTAAATGAAATCATTTGCAACATTAAATCAAACTTTCGCAATGTTACTTTTTCGTGATAATTTAGAATCATATTTGATTCTATTAACAAATTTCTTTTAATATGAGTACTTTAAAATTATTAAACTCGAAAAAATTTATTAATTTAAAATGAAGAATTCCTTTTATAAATAAATCTAATACTTATTTAAAATTCATATTTTTCATTGAGATAAATCTAACAGCAATGTACTGTACAGTACATCTGTTTTAATTCTACACATCACATCTGTGCCATAAGTTACATGTAGGCTAGATATAAATTAAAAATAAATAACTGTATTAATTTTTGAAATTTCAGAATGTTCCTAAATTCAACTGGCATCGCTTATTTATACGAATTTGTGCAATACTGAACTTCATTATAGGTGGATATCTTCCTACATTTACATTAATTATCAAAATTATTGCCGCGATTCAAAATATAAATGCAAAATATCAAAAATTACCGAAATCGTTAAAAGAATTCAATATGAGTCATTTTCTAACCTTATAAAGTCATATAAAATTGGTATATTTTTTATAAAAATCAGAAATTAATGTCTTTTTTCATAAATCTAAAATCCTACTTTTTATTAATTTAATGCCTACTCAACTACAAAAAATATAATTGAATAATTTTTTAAATTTTCTAATAAAACAGGGAATAAAAAAAATTTTATCTGTTTTATTTTCTGCTAAAGCGGATCAAATTTTCTTTTAATTTTATACTAGACCGATTTATAAAATGAGGAAAAAACTTCAAAACTGAAAGTAACTATCGTAATTAAGTTATTGCGGGTGTGAAAATAGTTACTTTTTAGTGTTACGTGATCGTATTTATCAATATCAGAAGTAGAATACTTCAGTGTTAGACAGCGTAACATAAAACCCACGACCTCTAAAGCCAGTATACTATTCAATCCATCTTCTTGTATTACGTATAGCTGATGGTTCTACAGTGAATACAAGTCCGGGTAGAAACACAAACCTATTATTCCGAACTTTGCTCCCTCGAGATACGAGAACGTATATCTTTTATTTGCAAAGAGTCGAGTGAAGAAAACAATTTCATATATAAGTTATGTATGTATAAATAGAAATTCGGGCAACGTTATTTTATCTGTAAAATACATTTTCTATTTTATATCAACAAATTGTCGTTTTCTAAATCTATTCGTTATTACAACAAAATTTCGAAACAAAGATGAAGAGCGATAAAATATCCAAAATAACCACGGATTCTATATTGAATACAATGTTATCAGCGATTAAAAAGATAAATAAATAAATTTAACTCTTATATTTTCTTCATTTTTATTGAAATTTTACATCAATAAATTGAAAAATAATACAAGTGCATCCATAAATAACATTAAAAAAAAGAGAAAATATTAAATTTTATAAGGTTGAATTTTTAGATAAAATTCAAAGGGTACATTTTAATATTGTAAAATTTATTTAAAGTGAATCAATGCGACGAAGGGGAAGGAAAGAAAAAAAATGTAACTATCAATTTCAGAATACAAATGCTAACAAAATAAAAACAACACAGATCAAGTTACTCTGAAGGAAAAGCAAAAAAAAAAAAAAAAGACAAAAATCTTCCAAGGTGAAAGTTTGAGGATGAACTTCCAGAATATGAGCTTTAGAAAAATATCGTAGATCTTAAGAATATAGGATATTTATAAATTACAAGAATTTATCTCTTTTACTTCAATTGAGAAAAGGATTTTCTTGCACAGCTAGCATGAGTCGTTCTCAAGGGGAGAGATATAATAACGCAAGCGCAGTCGATATAACCAAGCGTCTGCAAAACAAGCCCGAATCCCTAGAGAAGAAGAATGCAACTACTGGATAAACGGAAAGTAAATCTGAAGGAATAAGTTTAGAAATTTCTTATACCTATGTGGCCAAACACTGTTTGCCAATGAGATGAAAGATAGCTTCCAAACTGCTTAATCGATTCTTTATATGTGTCGAACTGGTTTGAAACCTACTACGAAATAATAACTGTTACCCTAGTTTCTAATTATTTATGCTTTGTTGACCTTTGTCGACAATTTAAATTGTGAAATTCAAAAACAAAGCAAAAAAAGTTTCGCCAACTGAAACTGTTCGCGCATATTTACTCGTTACTCGGCAATGGGGATTTAAATAATAATTTAAATGTTTCGACTGTGTATTTTAATAAATTTTAATGTTTTAAAATTTCTTCTCTTCATTTTAAGTCTCTGCCAATTTATTTATAAAATATTTAGGTATGTTTAAATTACAATATAAAATACAAAACTCAAGGTAAAAAAAAAAGCAAATCCTTCTGGAACTATACACTTGTAATTTAGAAGAATAAATTATATTACTGCAAATTTAAGTTAAGCAAACGGATAGAAATAAGCAAACAGGTTTGGACTGAAATTAACACATTAGCAAATTAGAAGAAATTGATTATTAACTTCATATGTTTAAAAAATTAATCGATTACTTGTTTGGTATACAAAAATTGTGTATATTAAGAGCGATAATTCTGTTAAAATGCTATAATAAACAATGATGAGATTTCAATCGATATGACTTTAGTAGCTGATCAACTGTATAAAAATATATTGCAATTATTTAATATTGATGCTGCATTTATCATCGCGTAACATCAACACGTTCGAAAAAATAAAGCATTGTGAACTTATCCCCCTTTTTTTTTTTTAAATTGGATCTTTAAAAATAATATAAACAAAATCGCTCGATAAAGGTGAAGTAATCGCGAAATTTTTACTCCAAGTTTCAAAAATTGGTTAGGCTTAACGACTTAAAAGGAATTAAGAAACGAAAAGATGTTGACAGTCCTTACCTCATAGTTTGTCTTTTTCACTATAGACTTCGGCACTGTTATGCTTTATATCCTGCTTGATCGTATAGACAATTTGGTCAGCAAAGACCTGAGACGACGAAACAAAACACGATCTGCCACAACTACTCTGACATCTGGGTCGTTATGAACGTCCACAACCTCAAAGACGACCGAGCTGCTCCTAACCGGAAAGCGCCTCTACCGGACATAACGGAAACTACTATTTACACCACCATCACACTTAATACANTATTTCAACAGAGATTTTGTATGGATATCTCGAAACCTTTATAAAATATGCATCCACATTTCTTCATCGAAGCTATCATTATATTTTTATAAAGAAATAAATTTATTGAAAACCCTTCTAGAATTATGATTAAGATGGTCAGAATTAGATTATTATAGCCCCGTGTTAGAAATAAAGCAATTCAATTCCGACATAACTGAATTTAACCGCGCAAATCTCATTTAATAGTTTCTTTCAGACATTTTTCTTATGAAAATTTTGTCGTTGCCATATGAAAATTTTTTCTTACTTTCAGTATGTTAAAAATTACATAATAAAAATGTGTCATTAATAACATTTATTACTATTCTGATACAATATTAAAATATTTGAAAAGTAATTGAAGTGAATGAAATTCGGAAAGAATTTTAAAATAGAAAATATAAATTGTCGTCAGTTGCAATATTTACAGTTATTAAACCAATATATCTTAATGGCGAATGACCGAGGCGGTGAAGACGTAAGTCTATTATTGCTCTGGAGGACTCGAAATCGAATCCAGACGAGTAACTCCCAAAAATTTTTCATGGGCGATCACCATCTGCCGCTTCTATTGTGACCTGACCGAACCTATTCTTAGTGCCTAGAGTGCAAAAATAATTAAAGATAGAAAATAAATGTAAAGGTATATAAAATACAATTAAATACATATTTTAAATCCATTATGCACGTTTTTATGTATAATATATATGACAGATAACTCATTTTATTAAGTTCTCCTAATTAAGATGATCAAATTCATTATTTTTGTTATAAGTGAAAATACAAGAGTTTTGTTTCATAAAAATTAAATAAATTACATTAAAATCAAACTTAAAACGTAGTAATTTACTATAAAATGATACATATAGGCCTATATTGATTTTTCTCTCTTTGTAAAGCAAAAGAAATTTGTTTCTTTTTTTTACCATGATCTAACTTATCGCGACGTGAAACACTGAATATGGTTGAACTGACAATATGATTGATTTTTGTGTCATGTGACTAGAAAGAAAACAAGCTAATATTGTTTACTGGAATGAATAAAATAATACTACTTCCACTTGTTTTCTTCATTAATAGATAATAAATCTCTCTTTTTATATTGTGATAATTGACAAAATAGTCTTTATTAAAAAATATCGAAACAAATTAGCAAAATTATCTATTTTATAATTAACGAAGGCTATAGCTACAAATCTTTGACTTTTGTAATCGATATTTTCTATAACTGAATCTAAGGTTATGATAATTGATGAGGCATCGCAGGGATTAAGCCACTGAGGACCACTAAGCAATTTTAAGACCCCCTAGGACGAACCTAGTTACTTTGTCACAAGAAAAAAATTCCTTTAAAAATATAGATTATTCTGGGTCGATTCGATGTAACAGTTTGCTGCAGTAGTATCGATAGGTCATACTTAAAAAAAAAATAAATAATTAATATAGGGCCTATATTTGTATACATACACATACAAAGAGAGCGAGAGAAAGAGAAAAAGGCTTTTCTTATGAATTTATTCAAAGAATTTTTCGAGTAAATGTCGTGGTTATATAAAGATGGAGTAAAAATTGCCTAGAGCGTAAGTTGTTTACGATAACTAAATCGTGTAATACGCATAATAATAGACTTATAAATAGTAGTAAATATTTTATATGTTCTAACTATTATATTTTCCTGCGTCTAATATTGATAGAACATTTTAAATGGATTTTTCTCTAATAAAATACTTTATAATGTTTAGCGCGGAGAAACGGGGATTCGACAATCAATGGGTCAAAAGAACGGGACATGGTCGAATCATATTTTACACCTAAACGATGATCTTTCTGTTCAAAAGACTTTCTCCGCCCGATACCTGTCCATAAACAGACTTTGATTAATCGCATACCTTCTTCGATTCAGGAAGGTAGCGAACTCGGTTGTTATCCCTAAAAGATCATCCAGAATCGCTTGAAAGCAACTGCTCTTGACATTGATGAGTGTCTTGCCATAAGCAAAATACATTTAACACCTCAGGGAAAGAGATGACATCTATAGGAAATACACAACGCATCTGTTTACGTTTAATCAAGATGTTCATGTTTATTAAATAGAAAGGCAGAGATAATATTTTCCATATATTGATTTAAACTTCAAATCGTTTTAAATTATATAATTTTCTTTAATTTCTATATACATTTTCGATATTATTATTTGTTGAATTTTTAGATAAAATTCAAAGGGTACATTTTAATATTGTAAAATTTATTTAAAGTGAATCAATGCGACGAAGGGGAAGGAAAGAAAAAAAATGTAACTATCAATTTCAGAATACAAATGCTAACAAAATAAAAACAACACAGATNTTATTAAACCAATATATCTTAATGGCGAATGACCGAGGCGGTGAAGACGTAAGTCTATTATTGCTCTGGAGGACTCGAAATCGAATCCAGACGAGTAACTCCCAAAAATTTTTCATGGGCGATCACCATCTGCCGCTTCTATTGTGACCTGACCGAACCTATTCTTAGTGCCTAGAGTGCAAAAATAATTAAAGATAGAAAATAAATGTAAAGGTATATAAAATACAATTAAATACATATTTTAAATCCATTATGCACGTTTTTATGTATAATATATATGACAGATAACTCATTTTATTAAGTTCTCCTAATTAAGATGATCAAATTCATTATTTTTGTTATAAGTGAAAATACAAGAGTTTTGTTTCATAAAAATTAAATAAATTACATTAAAATCAAACTTAAAACGTAGTAATTTACTATAAAATGATACATATAGGCCTATATTGATTTTTCTCTCTTTGTAAAGCAAAAGAAATTTGTTTCTTTTTTTTTTACCATGATCTAACTTATCGCGACGTGAAACACTGAATATGGTTGAACTGACAATATGATTGATTTTTGTGTCATGTGACTAGAAAGAAAACAAGCTAATATTGTTTACTGGAATGAATAAAATAATACTACTTCCACTTGTTTTCTTCATTAATAGATAATAAATCTCTCTTTTTATATTGTGATAATTGACAAAATAGTCTTTATTAAAAAATATCGAAACAAATTAGCAAAATTATCTATTTTATAATTAACGAAGGCAAAAATTGATGTTCTTTAAAGACATTTACAAAATTTGGAACGTCTATATATATTTTTTAATAATATAAAATAAAAATTATGTATATGTTACTTATGTATTTTATTCTGTTTAAAAATTTATTAGAACTTTAACTTAAAACAAAGAGATTTAAAATTCTAAAGCATTTTTAATTACAAAGAGTATTAACATAATACTCGGTGAATTCCTGAAGTCGTTATACTTAAATTTGTAAATGTTAATTTTTATTGATTTGACTTTTGTTTTAAGCAAAAGTCTGGTATTTCTCAATAAATATCTAAATAAAGTTAATACTACACTCGAACTACAAGAAGTGAAATAATTAGGGAAGGCCTAAGAGGCCTGGGCTCACCTTTACTTTCGTAAATAAATAAACGAATAAAAAATCAAATAAGCACAGGAAAGTGACTTAAATGTGACAAAAGCACTTATACATATGTATTCTGTATACAATATACAGTATACAGAGGTAAGGGCTTACTCTTCATCCACAGTGATAAAGGAGTAATATAGGTTTACACGTTCTAATTCAGCCCCTAACATCGGTTCTACTTACGCCACTGACTATATGGTTTAATGTCAAAAATAAACGTCTGTAGCCTGGATAACATCAAAGTTGCGCTTTTAATTAATAAAGGAAGAAACGTCTGCTATCTCCTTTTTAAATGAATTTTGAAAGATAAAATTTGGCATATAACTTACTGATTAAGAAATTTCTTAAATTTGATTGTAAAATATTTTAAAAGTTAACATTCAAAATAAAATTACGATAGCAAAATTTGTGAGCGTCTAAAATTTTAAATATTTATATAAAATTCTTTAAAAATATTAATGAAATAGAATAAATCATTTTTTAAAATAAAATAATTGGATATTTGTAAAATTTTANTACTTAAAAAAAAAATAAATAATTAATATAGGGCCTATATTTGTATACATACACATACAAAGAGAGCGAGAGAAAGAGAAAAAGGCTTTTCTTATGAATTTATTCAAAGAATTTTTCGAGTAAATGTCGTGGTTATATAAAGATGGAGTAAAAATTGCCTAGAGCGTAAGTTGTTTACGATAACTAAATCGTGTAATACGCATAATAATAGACTTATAAATAGTAGTAAATATTTTATATGTTCTAACTATTATATTTTCCTGCGTCTAATATTGATAGAACATTTTAAATGGATTTTTCTCTAATAAAATACTTTATAATGTTTAGCGCGGAGAAACGGGGATTCGACAATCAATGGGTCAAAAGAACGGGACATGGTCGAATCATATTTTACACCTAAACGATGATCTTTCTGTTCAAAAGACTTTCTCCGCCCGATACCTGTCCATAAACAGACTTTGATTAATCGCATACCTTCTTCGATTCAGGAAGGTAGCGAACTCGGTTGTTATCCCTAAAAGATCATCTAGAATCGCTTGAAAGCAACTGCTCTTGACATTGATGAGTGTCTTGCCATAAGCAAAATACATTTAACACCTCAGGAAAAGAGATGACATCTATAGGAAATACACAACGCATCTGTTTACGTTTAATCAAGATGTTCATGTTTATTAAATAGAAAGGCAGAGATAATATTTTCCATATATTGATTTAAACTTCAAATCGTTTTAAATTATATAATTTTCTTTAATTTCTATATACATTTTCGATATTATTATTTATTTTTATTTTCTTATAAGATAATTTATCTTCTATATCAATTCTCCAATACATATATCATGTACAGCGGCGGATTCAGAAGAGCCCAAAGAGGGTCTAACTGAAAAATCAAAAATATTTGAATAATTAATAAACAC